CTCATAAGATCTAAATACATCTGTTATAATAAACAACCATTTTATAATAAGAGCCTAAACCACAGCTTTTAACTTGTATAAAGTAAAGATTCCCCATTATAACAGCAAATGTGTCTGAAAGCCAATCTGTATAGTGGTCAACGTTCATTATCAGAAGAATCCACTTCTCTCCTTTATTGAAAAGAAGAATAGACCATGTTGGGAGTTGCAGGGCTGGGTCCTCACCACAACACAATGCTTTGAAGATAAAGAGACCTAATCTAGGTGGGTTCCAGACTTGAAGAAAACTCTAAGTCAGAGATGAGATAAGGTGCTAGAAGATTCACACATCCAGAAGCGGGGGTGGGGGGGTGGGGAGGGGAGTAAGGTCATCTAAAATCAGCAAAACAAAAAGAACCAGATTCACCTGATATCTAACCTAGTCTTTTGGGAATGAAGACTCATTAGGAAAGCATCCTTTTCTGCCCAGAGGAATTTTCCACAGGGGAATCATTTGCTTAGAGTTTGGAATCACAAGAGTGAAATGTGCCTAATGAGCAGATACAGGGAGCTGTAAATACCTCCTCATCTCCAGTCCATCAGCCTGTGCAGTTTTGGATAGAAAGGGCCATGCATTTTGTCTGTCTGTTCTGAGTCCTTATTCTGGCTGGGGGCCTATTGTTTCACTCCTTCCTGCTGTCTCAGCGGAGGAAAGAGATTTTGTCCCTGTCATCTGTCATCCAGGGAGGAATTCAGACTTCCCCAAAGACACCTTCCTGTCTGATACCCCAGCCAGGTGAGTCCAACATCCCAGTGGAACATGGGTAACAGGGGCAGAGAGAATGGAAGACAGGAAAATTGGCCCATCATCACCTGAGAGCCAATTCAACTTAGTCCAGATCAAATGATCACTGTGTTTATTTGTTTGCTTGCTTAAGTAATTAATGTATTATTAATGCTAATATCAATTTCACAAAGTGACTCCTACTCACACTTTTAAGGTCTTTCATATTTTTTACTAATAAATTGCTATTATATCAATGCTAGAAAAAGTATGTTGATATTGTTACACTCAATGTGTGGTTCTAATCAGCTGTGATTTTGTCCCCTGGGGAATCATTGATCACTGTCTGGAGCCAGCTTTGTCTGTCACACTAGAGGGGTGTGCATGAAGGCCAAAGATACCCTAAACACCCTAGAATGCACAGAACATCCCTCACCCCAGGGCTGGCTCTGACCAGAATGTCCATGACTCTGAGACAGAGAAACCCAGAGGTAAATAATATTAGTATTGGATCACAGCTGCCTTCAGGTTCTGCCTTCAATCTTCTAATGCTTTTCTGCCATGAAATTCAGAGTAAATCCTTGGCTACCAGTTTAAAATTTCCAACCACAAACAATGTAACAGCTCTGTGTTTTTTTTTCCCCACCAGGTTGCTGGTGATAGAGATATTTCTTGTTGTTTTCTTAAACTGTCCCTCAGTATCAGCACACATTATATATTTGATGACCATTCTGATTGGCCTTTATTATGCATCCCCATATATTACTCTACTCCACCTTTTTTTTCTTTTTTGCAGTTACTAGGATTTCAGATGATTTCCTCAGATCATTTCTTCTGAGTTGACTTTTGAAACATACTTTCACCAAAATATTTTTGTTGTTGTTGTTGTTGTATTTTATTTTTTTATTATGTTATGTTAGTCACTATACAGTACATTATTAGTTTTTGATGTAGTGTTTCATGATACATTGTTTGCATACAACACCCAGTACTCCATACAATCCATGCCCTTCTTAATAGCCATTACCAGGCTCACCCAGCTCCCCACAGCCCTCCCTTCTAAAACCCTCATTTGTTTCCCAGAGTCCATAGTCTCTCGTGGTTCACCTCCCAGTCTGATTTCTCCCCCTTCATTTTTACCTTCCCTCTCCTAATGTCCTCCAGGCTATTCCTAATATTCCACAAATAAGTGAAACTATATGACAATTGACTTACTCTGCTTGACTTATTTCACTTAGCATAATCTCCTCCAGCCCATGTTGATATAAAAGTTGGGTATTCATACTTTTGGATGACTGAGTAATATTCCATTGTGTATATGGACAACATCTTCTTTATTCATTCATCTGTTGAAGGGCATCTTGGCTCTTTCTACAGTTTGGCTATTGTGTACATTGCTACTATGAACATAAAGGTGCATATGGTCTTTCTTTTCACTACATCTGTATCTTTGGGGTAAATACCCCGTAGGGCAGTTACTGGGTCATAGGGTAGCTCAACTTTTAATTTTTTGAGGAAACTTCACACTGATTTTCAAACTGGATGCACCACCTTGCATTCCCACCAACAGTGTAAGAGGGTTCCCCCTTCTCTACATCCTCTCCAACATTTATTGCTTCTTGCCCTGTCGATTTTTACCATTCTAAGTCACCAAAACATTATAAATCTTATTTAAATTTTCTTATCTTCTTGCTTTTGGGTTTCTTACTTTATTTAAGTGATGCTTCCCACCTGTAAATTTCATATGTAGTTTTCCTGATATGCTACCATATTGTATGGTTACACTTACACTGGGTTCATAAACTCCCCAAATTTGGTGAAATGTCTGATGGAGGGGATCAATTTCATATTCCTCCAGGTAGATGTCCCTCTATACCAGCTTTTATTTAGTAATTCAACCTTTTCCAACAAAACCAAAATACAACCTTGCCACAGGGTAAATATCCTTATACATTAAGATCTAATATCTTGACTGATTTATCAAATAAAACCTGAGCATCTGACTTGGGCCAGAACACTCTAGGAACATTAAATTTTGTATTATTTTATGTCTAGGCCTTGTCCAATTTAATTATTAATCATTAATTACTGCTATTTGTTGCCATCACTAATTTTTGTTATTTATTTATCTATCTATCTATCTATTTCAGTTCATTTTGATTTTTCATAGAATTTGGCTTACAGCAGTTGTTTTAAAACTATTCATTCTAACATGATTTTGTAATTCCTTCATTCTTTTCATTTTAACTTTTCATATCCTTACATCTTTTTAATTTAAACATATATTTCACCAAGATAACTTGGTGAAAAAAAGAAAATGAACCAAGAAGCTGAAGTCCCTTCTCTTTTGGATGTTTCATTACAGTGAGGACAGAGTACAATGAAATAAATGTGTGTAATCATATGGCATCATCATATGAAGCAAGTTATTTAGTAAAAGGGATAGACTGTAATAGTGTGGGCAGGATTATAGAGCATAGTCTGGGGACACCTTTGCATGTGGTATGAAATCCAGAATGAGGATTAGAGTGTGCCCATTGAATTTGTCAAAAAGAGATTAATACCCAAAGCCCAAGAATATCAATGCAAAGATATAAGAGAATGGAGAAAGGGATAATCTCATCGTCTGTCATACCATAGAAATGAATCAGTCAAATAATGGTACAGGAGGGACAGAAAAAATAAGTCTTCTATGCTTGATACAAAAACGTCCACTTTTTATTGCATTGTGAATACTTCCTTTTGTCAAGTTTTGGTTTATCCATTTGCTCATTTGTCTTAGATGTATAATAGGAATAGATAGATAGATAGATAGATAGATATAGATATGTTAATATCTACATATATTTATATTTTATCGATATAGTTTTGTGTGAATACATTATAAATACATCACTAAGTGTCTTTTGAACAAGTTTGTTCTGTTCTCTTGTTAGTGCTGGACATTGGGAGATGTAATCAGGGGTAAGGAAGCTTCCAGAATCAAGGGGGCTTTTTCTTCCTCAGAGTCTCTCAGGGACCACCTGAGCTTATTAAATCATTCTTCTCCCTCGTTCATTTCACCCCCTCTCCATCTCACTCTCTGTCTTTCTGTTTATTCACCAGATTTTTTATGTTTGTGTAAATCACAGCAGAAAATGGCTATCCCAATATGGAGCCTACAGTTTATTTCCTCATGGAAGACTTAAGAATTGGCATTTCTGGACTTTGCAGGGGAAAGATTAATGACCTATCCTTCTTGGGCTGGATCCATTGGTGGGGACTGAAAAAGGGGAATAACACAATCCAAGAGTCATGGTGTCCTGCATGTGTGTGACTTACCAAGAGTGAGCAGTCCCCACAACAGGGTCCCAGGACTCATAAATCCCAAGGTGACACAACACAGGGCCCAGAACTTGATCAAGAGAGATTACTAAGAAGGGGATGTGTTTCAGTTCAGGGGATGCCTTTGCAACATGATGAATACAACGTGAGAGGCAGTGTGGACAAGGAAGTCCCTGTAACTAGAGGTTTCAGAGGTAGCAGAGAGGCCACTTCCTCCCTTAGCATGTCTGATGCCATCTGTTCTCAGTCTCCCTCCTGTTCATTTCCCTTGCAGCACTAGCTTGGCTTCTTTTACATGAGCATTGGAAACAAGTACCTTCCTCAGGGCCTTTGTACTGGACATTCCCTCTGCTGGGCACACACTTCCACACATAACCCTGCATCAATCTTTGTCTTAATTGAGTTCTGTGTTCTGGTGTCACCTTGTTTGCAGAATTAGCCTAAATCCCCACAAAAAATATGATGTCCAACTGTCTGTCAGCTTTATACCTGTTTTCCTTTTCTTTCTAGCACCCCTCATCATCTGCAAAGTTATGTAAGTCTCTTATTGCTTATACATTCTTTCTACAACACTGTAGGGACTTTTGTTCTTTAGCACCCTATGCTCATTGCTTAGGTATTGCTTGAAACACGGTCAGCAGTCAATTTATATTCCTAAGATACTTTAAGAATTTCCTAGTAACCCTATAAAATATATGAGTTCTTAGGGAAGAAACTGATTGAGAAACAACTATATCACACATGACACAGGGAATACCTCAAAGGGGGCCATATCCATGCACAAAATATTAAAGTAAATTCCTGGACTGCAAAGTATAAAAAGTAACATTTCAAATCTGTGAGTAAAAAAAAAAAAAAAAAAAAAAAAGTCTGTCATGTTGTTTCCTTCTTTCCCAAAAGTCACCTCCACCACATGGAACAAGGAAATGATACACAAATTCCAGAGTTTCTTCTTCTGGGATTATCAGAGGACCAAGAACTGCAGCCCCTCATATTTGGGCTTTTCATCTCCATGTACCTGATCACTGTGTTTGGAAACCTGGTCCTCATCCTAGCTGTCAGCATAGACCCCAAACTCTACACACCCATGTACTTCTTTCTGGCCAACTTGTCCTTTGTAGACATCTGTTTCACCTCTACCACTCTTCCCAAGATGCTGTGGAACATCCAGACTCAGAGCAAAGTCATAACCTATGCAGGCTGTGTTACTCAAATGTACTTTTTAATGATCTTTTCAGTTTTGGACATCTACCTCCTTGCTGTGATGTCCTATGACCGCTTTGTAGCCATCTGTCACCCCCTGCACTACACAGTCATCATGAACCCCCGGCTCTGTGGACTGCTTGTTCTGGGGTCCTGGATCATAAGTGTCTTGCATTCCTTCTTACAAATATCAATGGTGTTGCAGCTGTCCTTCTGTACAGAGGTGGAAATCCCCCACTTTTTCTGTGAACTCAATCAGATGATCCAACTTGCTTGTTCTGACACTTTCCTTAATAACATGGTGATGTATTTTGCAGCTGTCCTGCTGGTTGGTGTTCCCCTTGCTGGGATCCTTTACTCTTACTCTAAGATTGTTTCCTCCATACTTAGGATCTCATCAGCCCAGGGGAAGTATAAAGCATTTTCCACCTGTGCATCTCACCTCTCAGTTGTCTCCTTATTTTTTTGTACAAGCCTAGGAGTGTACCTTAGCTCTGCTGCCACCCAGAGCTCCCATTCAAGTGCAGTAGCCTCAGTGATGTACACGGTGGTCACACCCATGCTGAACCCCTTCATCTACAGCCTTAGGAACAAAGATATAACAAGGGCTCTGAAAAGAATGGGGACTAAGGAGGGCACTTGATGTAATGAGCCCTGGGTGTTATATGCAACTAATGAACCACAAATTCTACCCCTGAAACTCACAAGACACTGTATGTTAAATAACTTGAAATTAAATTAAAAAAAAAACTATCATTGGGGTTCCAGCGATGTGAGGGCCAACTATTCTGGGGCTAAAGAAGCATCCATGATTGCAGGGTTCACGGTCTCAGAGCCAAGAACTGCTATTCCTTGAACAGGCTGTGGGGGTAGAATCTGTTCCTTCTACATGTGGTTAAGGAAATCACTTTGTCTGTGTTCCCCTTTGTCTGTATCTTAAATGGCACAAGTTATATTCTTAAAACTAATATCATTTCAAATGACTTACACCATGTAATATAAATTTTCCCTAAATTTCCCAAGAATAATCATGAGTTGTATTCTTCTTATGGAAGAAAGTTTACTTGGCCACTCAGCCCTTCACATAACTTTATTGTTGATGAAAATACAAAACTACAGCTTTCCCCTTGACTCTGAGATCTTTTCCATCACAACTTCATGTCTCTTCCTGATAATGTGGACTCTAACACTGCTCCCTTTAAGTCTCAGGCTCCTGATAGGAGTGTTCAGACCAGGAAAGCCCAGGTACTCCCTTGCACCCATGTGCTTGTGGACATTCCCACAGATGCTTCCCTGACCAGAGCTTCTGCTGTGGCTGCACCTGCCCCTGGGTTCTCATTCTGATTTCAAGACATGGCTCAGCATCACCCACAGACAACTCTAACAAAACCAGGTTTATCCCTTATAAATCCTGAAGGACACATGGAACCCCAAAGGTCATTGGGCGAGGTCTCAGAGGTGGAGAGGCATTGAGAGGGAGACTTAGCACTGTCTTTGAGGGATCTGCCATTATTGGGGTCCATGACCAGAGTGGCTAGAGGTTTATGGGTTCACTCATTATTGGAGAATTTTTTATGATTAGAATTCAGCTGCTCAAGAGGAAAAGCAGGGTCACTCATGTGTCAGTATAGACATTATCTAGGGCTTTCTGAAGACGTACTTCATGGCTGGAGCAGTCAGAGTTCTTCTCTGGTAATTGTGTACCACACCTGATAATACGTTTAGTCACCTTTTTTTTTTTTTCTTTGAAATGATTGCCTCATCATCATTAGCCATCAGGGAAATTCAAATCAAAACCAAATTAAGATGCCAACTTACACCAGTTAGAATGGCCAAAATTAATAAGTTAAGAAACAACAAGTGTTGGAGAGGATATGGAGAAAGGGGCGCCCTCTTACACTGTTGGTAGGAATGCAAGTTGGTGCAGTCACTTTGGAAAACAGTGTGGAGATTCCTCAAAAAAAAAAAATAGAGCTACCCTATGACCTTGCAATTGCTTTACTGGGTATTTGCCCCAAAGATACAGATGTAGTTGAAAAGAAGGGTCATAGGTACCCCAATGTTTATAACAGTAATGGCCACAATCACCACAGTATGGAAAGAGACAAGATGTCCTTCAACAGATTAATGGATAAAGAAGATATGGTTCATATATAAAATGGAATATTACAAAGCTATCAGAAAGGATGCATAACCAACTTTTGTGTCAGGACTGGAGGAGATTATGTTGAGTGAGATAAGTCAAGCAGAGAGAATCAATGGTCATATGGTTCACTTACTTGTGGAGAATAAGGAATAGCATGGAGGACATTAGGAGAAGGAAATGAAAAGTGAATTGGGGGAAATCAAAAGGGGAGATGAGCCATGAGAGACTGGACTCTGAAAAAAAAACTGAGGGTTTTGGAAGGGAGGGTATTGGGGGGATGGGTGAGCCTGATGGTAGGTGTTAAGGAGGACATGTATTGCATGGAGCACTGGGTGTGGTACATAAACAATAAATCTTGGAACACTGAGAAAATAAAATATTTTTTTTAAAGAAATGGATGCCTCAAAAATCCAAAGCTTAATGTCAGGCACTTCCTCTAAAACATGCCCCAGTGTTTCTTAATCAGTCTCCTGTTTTTAGTCTATGATTCAGCTCATTTCCAGAGAGCCTACCACAGACCCTGGCAAGCACTTATTAGCAAACATATCTCTCCAGTGGAGTCTACATTGAAAGGCAAATTTGATATAAAAAAAAAGATGGACTTGGTATGTTCTTAGCATTAGGATGACCACAAATATGATGAAGCACAATTTCAAAACACTCCTTTTGTTACTACACAAAATGTTTCTTTTTTTTCTTTTTCTTTCTTTCTTTCTTTTTTAACATCAAAATTCATGTTGTTCATCTACTTATTAGAGTGAGGAAAATTGGTGTCCACAATTGAAGGGATTTATTCATTGAGATGAAGGGTTGGTTAGTTCATTGCATGTTTTATCATTGAATCATCTTCCTGTTTCTACTGAAAATTTACAAAGTTACTTGGTAATATGGCTCTTCCATTTAATAATTCCATTCCTAATATTTGTCACAAATGCTAAGAGATGGTGAATGAGCATTATCAGCATCATCCATTTTGTGCCTCCTTCCTACTCAGAAATCTCTTCCACCTGCTTGATCAGAAGATGCTTCACAGGAAGGCTGGATGCCTTGCCGATTGTGTGGTTCAGAGTCAGAAGTTCTGCACCAATCCAAATGTCCTTCATACTGTCCCAGTGACCCAAAAAGGAGCCCGCTTATAGTCACTTGTTTATAATGTTACCAGAAATAAACTTGAATAACAATGATCATGACTGCTCTCCTTAATATCAGATCATAAGCAACAAATAGAATGCAGCACATGTTCTAACTGCCTTAGGTCTGTTCATTTGGATTATTGTGTCAGTCAGCTCTTGCTGTATAACAGGCTGTCCTTGTCAAATGGGATATCATACTGAGGTGGGGTGGCTGAACACAACAGTCAAGAAAGAATTCTTAAGACATTTTATCATGCAAAAATGTGATTTTATTATAGCATAGGGGCAAGTTATATGGGCAGAAAAAGGTGGATCAGGATTCTGAAGAGTAACTGATTTTTCATTTTGGAGTTGTAGAAGGAGAGGGTAGAAATAATATAAGTTTCTATGGAATTTATGCTGAACATGAGGTTTACAGAACCCTGCAGCTTGGACTATTGCCAAGATATGGTTGCTTTTAGTCTATAATAAAACATCAACATGAAGGCAGCCATGATTCCTGGAGGAGTGTCACATTCTCCATGTCTCAGGGATTCATCAGGGGCTGCAGGATGTAAGGAAATTGACTTTTACCTACATTTTCTTGCCTTCATTTTCCTCATCACTAATACATTTACAATCAAATGGCATTATATTCCGTATCTCTGGTGAGTTCCTCATGGGTCTGGAGTCAGGTGTGAAATTCTATGTTGCATTTCTAAGGTTCATCAGTGTTGTATGTAGCTGTAGTGCTCTTCTGTTTCAGCCAATTTATGGCCTTATTGCCACATTTCTATATGTAACGTACTTTTCTATTACAAATTAAATGAACTTATGTGGATTGTTTTACTTTCTTCACACCGTTCCTACATCCATACAACTCTTACTTTCCTTCCCTGTTAAAAGAGCTCTCTCTCAGACCTTCAATGGAGAGTCAGCTACCTATGCTCTAGATCCTACCATTAGCCATGCACCACAGATATCTCCCTACTTTATTAAATCATAGGAGTATAATTACACGCAATAAACTTCATATTTAGAGTGCACAGTTTGGTGAATTAAAGGAGCTACATAAAAATGAAAAAAATGAAGTGATTAGCACAAGTTTCCATTTGTGTATAATTTAAGACAATTCCATAAACCTTACCTGTATTGTTAGGTAATTGTTACTTCCCCAAAGAAGACATACAAATGACTAACAGACACATGAAAAGATGTTCATCATCATTAGCCATCAAGGAAATTTAAATCAAAACCACATTGAGATACCACTTTACACCAGTTAGAATGCCCAAAATTAACAAGACAGTAAACAACAAGTGTTAGAGAGAATGTGAAGAAAGGGGAAAACTCCTACACTTTTGGTGGGAATGCAAATTGGTGCAGCCATGTTGGAAAACAGCGTGGAGATCCCTCAGGCTACCCTAATGACCCTGCAATTGCTCTACTGGGTATTTACCCCAAAGATACAGATGTAGTGAAAAGAAGGGTCATCTGTACCGAAATGGTCGTAGCAGTAATGGCCACAATTGCCGAACTGTGGAAAGAGAAGAGATGCCCTTCAACAAATGAATGGATAAAGACAGTATGGTCCATACATACAATGGAATATTACACAGCCATCAGAAAGGATGAATACCCAACTTTTGTATCAACATGAATGGGACTGGAGGAGAATATGCTGAGTGAAGTAAGTCAAGCAGAGAGAGTCAATTATCACTTGGTTTCACTTACTTGTGGAGGATAAGAGATAATATGGAGGACATTAGGAGAAGGAATGGAAAAGTGAATTGGGGGAGATGAACCATGAGAGACTGTGGACTCTGAGAAACAGACTGAGGGTTTTGGAGGGGAGGGTTTGGGGGTAAGGTTAGGTGAGCCTGGTGGTGGGTATTAAGGAGGAAACATTGCATGGAACACTGGATGTGGTGCCTAAACAATGAATCTTGGAACACTGAAAAAATAAGATTAAAATTTTAAAAAGATAGAGAAAATTGAAAAAAAAATTTCCAGTTACCTGAGCCTCCTTCCTTATTTCTGAAACCAGTGTGGAATACTAAGCAAAACTTGATATGACTGTTGTAAGAATAGAATGAAATACGTGGAAAATAATTTTTTACTCCAAAGAAAACATTCAGGTCGTTGTGGGAATAATGAATGGTTGAATCAATATGAAAAAAAAAGAATTCAAAAATATAGACACAAGGGGCGCCTGGGCGGCTCAGTGGACTAAACCTCTGCCTTTGGCTCAGGTCATGATCTCAGGATCCTGGGATCGAGCCCCACATCCGGCTCTGTGCTCAGCAGGGAGCCTGCTCCCCCCTCTCTCTCTGCCTGCCTCTCTGCCTCCTTGTGATCTTTCTCTGTCAAATAAATAAATAAAATCTTTAAAAAATATAGACACAAAATTATAAATTACAATGGGTGACCTTAATTTTGATCATGAGTTCCTTTCCCATATCACTGTCTCAAAGCCTCATAGACCACACTCACATTTAAGCCAAAAGAATTTGCTGTACCATATGATGGGGCAGAATATCTCCAAATAGATTTTTTTTCTATTTAATGTAGGTTCTTATGGAGGGCATATTTTGTAATAAGCACTGGGTTAAATGCAAATAATGAATCATGGAACATTATATCAAAAGTTAATGATGTACTCTACAGTGGCTAACTGATCATAATTTTTAAAAAGGGAGAAAAAAAATGCACTTGCCCTTGTCCAAGGGAAGCTGATGAGTGAATTGAGAGACTTAAACTCAGTTTCCTTCAATAATGTTATTGACTATGTCCATAGCAGATTCCTCCTGCTTCTGTACAATATCCCCCACAGTAATTGCTTAAAACAAATGCATACATGCTCTTACAGTTC